ATTGCTGGAGCTTCCTTTTGAGATTTGGATCTGAGTTTCAAATTGATTTAGTATTGCTGGAGCTTCCTTTTGAGATTTGGATCTGAGTTTCAAATTGATTTAGTATTGCTGGAGCTTCCTTTTGAGATTTGGATCTGAGTTTCAAATTGATTTAGTATTGCTGGAGCTTCCTTTTGAGATTTGGAACTGAGTTTCAAATTGATTTAGTATTGCTGGAGCTTCCTTTTGAGATTTGGAACTGAGTTTCAAATTGATTTAGTATTGCTGGAGCTTCCTTTTGAGATTTGGAACTGAGTTTCAAATTGATTTAGTATTGCTGGAGCTTCCTTTTGAGATTTGGAACTGAGTTTCAAATTGATTTAGTATTGCTGGAGCTTCCTTTTGAGATTTGGAACTGAGTTTCAAATTGATTTAGTATTGCTGGAGCTTCCTTTTGAGATTTGGAACTGAGTTTCAAATTGATTTAGTATTGCTGGAGCTTGCTTTTGAGATTTGGAACTGAGTTTCAAATTGATTTAGTATTGCTGGAGCTTCCTTTTGAGATTTGGAACTGAGTTTCCATTTGATTTAGTATTGGTAGACTTGAGTTTCCATTTGATTTAGTATGGGTAGACTTGAGTTTCCATTTGATTTAGTTGTTCCTTTCCTTCTTCCTTCTCTCATCTCTTTCTCTCTTGCCTCTTCCTTGGCTGGCTGGGTGGGGGCAGGAGGTTTGGAGACTTCAGCAGCCACAGTGGCAAAAAGGAAGGTAGCAATGCAACAGGTAAGGTTTGCAGGTAAATAGGTGTTGCAAAGCTCCCTGTAGGATCAGATCTCAGTGAGATGTTTCCAGAGAAAAAAGAGAAGTTGCACCTGCAAGATTCAAAGGGAGAGGGAGGAGAGAAGATACAAGAGAAAGTAGAAGAACCAGCCAAAGACAAGGTGGAAGAACCGTTGGAAGATGTGCTAAAAGAAGAACCTGAAGGAAAAGAAGAGCCTGAAGGAGAGGTGGATGAAAAGAAAGATCACAAGGAGGTGGCTGAAGCCTAGCAGGGAGCTGCCAGTAGCAGCCAGCTAGAAGCCAGCTGCTGAGAGCAAAAAAGGAAGCAGAGCTGGGCCAAAGCTGCAGGGTTAGTAGGAGTTTGAGGCAGGTTTGCATGAGGTCATTGGCCAGCTTGAGAGAGGGTTGCTAGGAGTTTGAGGCAGGTTTGCTTTGGCCAGCTGGAGTTTGGCCAGCTTGAGAGAGGGTTGGTGGGAGTTTGAGGCAGTTGTGCATGAGGGAATTAGCCAGCATGAAAAAGCGAGCTTGGAGCAGCTGTCAGCTCTCCAAGCAAGTTGTGCTTCAGCTTCAAGCTTTGCATAGCTGCTGGGCTTCCACAGCAGTTGGTGGTTAGTTTTCTTTTCAGCATGAGTTAATTACACTGATTTCATGCATTTGTTGGTTCAGTTGACAATCTCAGGTTGCAGAGATGAGCAGGCTGGCAGGGCTGATCAGCAAGATGAAGGCTAAGAGGACACAGGTGGCAGTTGGGCTTGTAGCTCTGGCAGTTGGGTTTTTCAGCAACAGAGCCCCAGCTTGACTTAGCTTCTCTTTGGGAAAGTTTGGGAAAGTTTGAGAAAGATTGACCAACCCCCTGCAGCCCAGGAGATGCTCGCACAGTTGTCATGTCCAAGGGGGCACTGGTGGTGGCACAGTTGGACATTGGAATGGCTGCTTGGTGTAATTTAGCTGGTTTTTTTCAGCTTTAGTTGGTCAACAGTTTGAGTGTTTATTTGTTAGACCACTGCAAAGCCACTAATTAGGTGATGCTAGCTGCAAGCATAGCCTACATCATGCAGATCTTGAGAGAGATGAACTCAAAGTTGTCAACAGTGATGGACAGCTGCTGGATCAGTGCCACCAAGTTGGTCTGGCTTGAGATGAGCAGTTGTGCATGTCATTAGCAAAGCTTTGTAGCTTTTCATGCAAGTTTTCAATTTCAGCACAACTAGCTTTGCAGTTTTGCAGCAGTTTTGCAGTTTGCCACAAGCTAATTAAGGAGCTGATCGAGATGCAGCAAGTCACACAGATGTGCAGAGGCACCTGTACCAGTTGATGCTGGACTGGGAGGAGAGTAGCCCAGCTTGGGTTTAGAAGTTGTTCAAGCAGATGTGGACACAGTTGATTGTTTGGTGGGTCCTTTTTCAATAGTTACACAGTTGCCAGTCAGCCAGTTAGCTGAGGTTCAAACTGGTCTGGTGCCAAAGCATTCACAAGTATGTTGCTGCAATACAGGGCAGCTCCCACACATGCCACAGATGCAGCCAGCTACATGGCAGAGTGGGACCTGGCAGTGAGGTCTGCACAGTTGCAGGTGCAGATTTGCATTTGGGAGAAGAGGTTTCTAAGAGACTCTTGGCTTAGTGATGAGCTTTCTTTGGTTGTAGTTAGTTCTGCCACATTTTACTTTAAAGGGGGGCATATAACTAGGTGTTTAGTAGGGAATTAGCACTAGCTTTGGGTAGCAGTAGCCTTTGGGGTAGTGGCCATTAGCAGTTCTAGTCAGCTCAGAAGTTGACCGATGACACGATCACCTTCAAAGATGTCATGGCTGAGCAGAATGCCTTGCTGAACACCATTCGGCCAGAGTTGAAGAAGGTGCAGTTCAACCCAGTGCCCTGAAGCAAGTCATGTTACATGCAACGGTTTTTTTAATGGTGGAGAGAAGCAGGGAAAGAGAAATATAAACAAGCTGCCTCACAACTGCGTTAATTATTAGTTAATCAGTTTCCTTTCCACTGAGCCAAAGACCCTTTGCAGGATGCACCATCAGATGAGCTTGTGCAGAAAGCTGCTCCATGGTCCATAGCTGTGGCAGAGTGGGAGTCCACCATTGAGAAGTTGGAGGTGTTGATGTGCCCTGTTATTTATTCAGATGTGTTTTTGCATTTGAGTTGGCTGCAGTTGCTTTGGCTTGTGTTCATTCTCTTTGTGTAGCTTCATCAGTTGGTTAGGTTGTAAGTTTCTTTTACTGAGTGGCGCCAGCTGCAGGCACAAAGCTGGCCACTTCAAGATGGATTGGTGTATAGTTGCACAGATGCCAGAGGCACCAAAGCTGATGACAGAAGGGAAGCTAAAGCTTGAGATCAGTGAGTTGGAGAAGCTGCAAGCTTACTGGGAAAGCCAGCCAAGAAGGTGAGAAGATAGAGTTAGCTGGTCCTGAGATAGTTGGGAAAGAATCAGTAATTAGCTTGCTATCCTGATAGAGTGTTTCAAAGTTACATAGAAGCCGTTGGTTTTCAGAATTGCTGGGGCCAGGTGAGTACAGTACTTCATTGCAGAAGCTGATCAGTTGCAGTTTTGCAGGGACAGCTCTTTTGGCCAACAGCCTACAGCTGGCTGCTACAATATGATGTTTTCCAGCTGGGGGCTGTTTGAAACTAGTTGTTGGAACCAGTAGTTGCCAGTTTGTCTTGGTCACAGAGAATTGCTGCTTTGTTTGGAGTAGGCCCAGAAAAGCTAAGTCAGTTATTAATTCATTTCCATGCCAGAGATGGCAAGGACTCCATAAAAGCACAAAAGGATTCTGAGCCAGGTCAATGGTTTGGCATGGAGTTGCCAGCTTGAAGGTGTGAGGTGTTGCATGGAGTTGCCAGCTTGAAGGTGTGAGGTTTTGCATGGAGTTGCCAGCTTGAAGGTGTGAGGTTTTGCATGGAGTTGCCAGCTTGAAGGTGTGAGGTTTTGCATGGAGTTGCCAGCTTGAAGGTGTGAGGTTTTGCATGGAGTTGCCAGCTTGAAGGTGTGATGTTTTGCAGTGTCAGACTTTGGTGCAGCTGATCTTCAGATCAAGTTTACAACAAGCTCATTCTACACAGCAGTAACTACTAATTAGCAAGCAGTGAAAGACACACAAACACAAACCACAGCTGACCAGCTGGCAAAGATAGCTAACCACACAGTCAGTTGCAGGGCAGATTGAAAAGCATCCAGGTGTGGCTCAAGATGGCAGATGGACAAGCTGGACAAAAGAAGCTGGCAGAGGACTGACTGAGCAGCAGAGGAAAGGGGGAAGGGGAGTTAATTGATTGCTAGCTAAATGCAACAGATCCTTGGCTCAAGCAGAGGCCCTAGTTGATTTTGGAGCCATGTGGCCAGATGGAGATGCAGTTGTGGAAGTCTTTTGGAGGAACTGGCAAGGTGAGTTTGTGCTAGTTCAGAAGAGAGAGAGTGGGTGGGAAGATAGAGTTTCTCTCAGAGTTGTTGCTCCTGACTTGTTTGGGTCCATAGGTGACCCAAAGTATGTGAGTTTTGGAGCATTTATACTAGAGCTGGAGCTGGAGAGGAACATCCCAGATCATGGAGATGAGTGTGTAGCTAGCAGAGCTGTGTGCAGGTTCCTGCAGTTACAGCGCAATTAGCTTGAGTTGTGCAAAACAATGCTTGGG